TTTATGTTTTTATGTAAAGTCTTCTCATTTTTAAATGCTAGTAATAATTTCAAAATTTCATTTCAATTTCATTAATCCCTAGGTATTTGACATTTATTGAAATGACCGCAACTTATTACATTTTTATTTTCAATTAGTTGGGTAAGGGAGTTCTGGTGACATAGCCTATACTATATGAGTAGAGACCCAGATGTGTACATCAATATCCACATATTGTAGTGCTATCTGTAATAGTCCCAAAATTCTGGGGGAGGGGAGCAAATGTTTACAAATTGTTGTTGCTCTTAGGTACCATTGAGTTGATTCAGACTCAGCAACACTATGTGACTGCATCATAGGATTTTCTAGACCATATTTTCTGTGGAAGATAATCACCAAGTCTTCATTCCTTTGGAGCCACTAGATAGGCTCGAACTACCAAACTTCTAGATAGGAGCCAAACACTTAACTTTTGACACAGTGCTGTAATGTGCCATAAAGTATCCTGCTATATAGCCACAAAAAGGAGTAAATTACTGTTACAGGTAGCAACATGGTTGAATCTGGCAAACAGAGTGCTAAACAAAAGGAAATGTACACAGGAGCAAATTCCTTATGTTTCAATTCTATCTATATGGAGACACAACTATATTTACTTGGAGATACCATTATAGCTATACCTAAATGAAGAAACGTCTATATCTACTTCTAGTGCAGACACTTCTATAGCTACATGTAGATACTTCTGTATCTACATGGAGACACATCCAAATCTATATGGTGACACCTCTACACCCATGTGGATCCAAGGAGATATCCCCGCCACCTTAAATCCATGAACTACAGAAAAAAAAATACTGCTATGCTTTCTTTTCTCCTACCTGGTTAATGTTATTTGGAATATTTGATATCCAGCTATGAAAGAGGCCAGCTTCGAAAGACTCTGTTTTCCTGAGCCACCAACTCCCACTAGCAATGCATTGCCACATGAAGTACGAATGATTCGTGAAATCTGTTTTGAAATAAATAATTTTACAAATGTGATTCAAGTGTTTATATTTTTTTGCACTAAGTAAATAAAAGATTGGGTCATATGTTTCTAGATACAATTAAGAGTCTTTCTTTGTAATTTTCTTGTGTATCTCTGAATCATGAGAATAATTAAGATGAAAGTTACATATTGATTTTCTCCACATAAATTCTGTCCATGTGTATTTATATTTATACTAGTTATAGAACAAATTATCTTTATAAGGTATTCTTAATTATTTTTTTGTGTGTAAGGGATTTTATAATTTTTTTTAATACAGTAAATGGTGAAGCTTTTATTCCTAACCTGCAGAAGATATAAGAAGGAAGTTCGGGGCAGGGGGTGTTTACTTCTCATTAATTTGTATAACACACTGAATCATGTGGATGATGTTGTTGTTGTTGTTGTTATGTGCCAT